TCTTAATAATTCATATTAATGGCTACCCATATGTAACTGCTGCAGTATTTAGCTATTTTACAGTAAATAAACACTGAAATCCATCAGAGGTCACTGAACCTGCGGGTGGATATTCCAGGGAGGCAGCCGTAACCCACTGCTCACAGTTGCTGTGTGTCCAGCCAGTTGGGGATGCAAAATGGTATGTGTTAAAGTAACCTATTAAGGTCACCAGTTTATATTTTACCAGAGTCGACCAGCAACTTTTAAGAATTACCGGCTCACCCATCTAGCAAATCCAAACGTGTTGTAGGAATGTTTTATAAAGTTTTATATTGGCTGCCCAGTGTTTGGTACCTTTCTTGTCAAGTTCTCTTGTGTTTGAAGAACAGACTGCAGGGACATCGCTGCTCAAAATGCTTTAACTCTAATATTATTTCAAAAACTGTTACTGCTGGACACTGTATGTTCACTGAGAACCACACAGTGGACATACAGTGTCACCTGGAGTCCCAATAGTGATGAAGTATTGTGCTGATATGTAGTGTATGAGATTGTACCATCAGAGGACTATTAGCCACACTCAGAGTGAAGAACAGAAGTGTGGCTCGAGTTTGTTGTGTTAAAATGAAACAAGAAAAGGCAACAACACGTCTTACTGCCAAACTGTTTGCCTTTATATACATAATTAAACTTTTTTAAACGTTTTTATACTGTTTGTATGGACCTCTGTATGCTCAAATAGTACTGGTAAACCTTCTGTAGTTTCTGCTTTATATTGTAAGTGTCAGTGGTCAGATGTTAATAGAACTTCAAATGAAACGATGAAATGCATTTTAGTGCTTTTAAATACTTCCTAGAAGCTCTAGAGGAGATTCTCACACCATCATTTGCATAATTAACAACAGCAGGAGGAAAACTGCAATGACAGTGCACTTTTTTCATTCAAGTCTCACTCTGGCTCATTGTCATAGCTGCATTGGCAAAATCTCAAACTGAACTATTGCTGGTACATGAAGGCATCACAATCAGAACATCAGAAACAAGACGATGTGTCGTAGTTTCAATCACAGATCCCCATCACATCTTCAGTGAGCAGCCTTCCATTCAGTGTGTCTGCAGAGGGAGTTGTGACTCGGGGTGGATGGAGGAAAAAAAGGAATGTAATGTTTCAATCAGGAGCAGAACCGTCTGTGATATTTCAAGCGTCTGTCAGGGTCTTGTTGTCCAGCACAATCTTCTCTCCTGGTTTGAACGCCGGCATCCCCGCGTACGGACAGCTGGCACATCGGAACGCGTCACCAAGGTAACACTGCCACAGAAAGAAATGAAGTATGATAGAAAACTATGCTCAAACATGGTGAGAATTTGAAATGGAACAATCTAAATATATATACTCACACTTCCACAGGCAGATTTTGGTAGGTTAGTCTTTTGTTTTCCTTTGCTCTCCTGCTCCAACTCTTCAGCAAGACCACATGAGCTACACAAACATGCAGCATATTGCATCATATAGTGTTCGAAAACACACAGATAAATGTACAATAATATTTTTGAAAGAACTCACCAGTTCTTGCAGGCTTTCTTCTTCTTGCCGGCTCCCTCTCCACAGCTGGGTGCTTTAAGAGAAGCTGGGTCTGGCTTCTTCAAGTCATCTTCATCCAGCAGAGCATCAGAGTCCACCAGATCCTAGAGAGACCGAACCGAACAGACAATAGAGGACTAAGTAAATGCAGGGGAGTACAGTGTACAGCAAGACATGTGCATGACAGATATATTTCTTCAGGAAATTCATCAAGAGTGGCTCTTAACATGCATGACAATATGTGAGGTGTTACACTGCAGGCTAATCAAACTGTGTTTATTGTATCTACATTAGGACACAGATAACAACATCCAGAACTCACCACATCATCATCATCCATGTCATTGGCCGACAGCGTCCACATTTTGACAGTGTTGGGATCCAGAGCAGGTTTCTCTGCTGAAACCACAGATGTTTGCAAATATTAGCTTCAGATCAACAGATGATACAACTTCACAGCAAACTGACACTGAGTAACATCAGCAAATACAAATATACTCAACAAAATGTATTTTAGCCACCTAAAAAAATCCTCAGTTAAGTATAAGCTATATTTGCAATATGTTCACAGTTTTGCTTTGCTCTCTCCACATCCACCACACTCCTCACACAATCACACAAATGAACCCATCGAGGCAGCAGTGGACCAGCAACTCCTGTGTGCAGCAAGGTAAAATTGCTGTTTTTGTTAATGGAGTCTGGTGGTTTTGAAAGCATCATCATTGGATATAACGGCTTCAGTTTGCTGTGGGAAAGCGCTGTCTGACGGCAAGGTAAAGTGGTGAAATTATTTTAAATATAGAGTACACTTACACTGATATTTTTTAGACAGTACCTCAGAACCCCACTTCAAAAAATCCCTTTAAGGCCAGTTGCACAAAGATTAAATTGATGACCATAAACACCAGAAAGCAGAACTTATAACATTGTTTTACAAACGTGCCATGGATCACCCAAGATGCAAATTTGTAAGAAAATATGAGAAGAAGAAAACAGTCTCAACTCTACACTATCTCTACCAACCGAAACAGATGGAAAAGCTATCATGTACGCACATTTGTAGAGCCAGGGTTGCTGAACTGTCCTCAGAGGAGCCCCATTTGGTCAGTCACAGTCATTTTGACCAATATGAGACATATTATAGTTTTGTCAAATGTTGACCAGTGGGTTCAGAGGCAGGCGCAGCAGACACATGAAGAAAAACAAGAAAACAGGCCTTATACACCTACCTGGCTTGGGTGTCTTTTTCCCAAATGACAGTTTAATCTGGCTGGATGATCCCACCTCAAAGTTGGGTTTGGAGGCAGATATGCGGACTCTAGACAGAGTGTTTCCCTGGTAACCAGTGGCAGTTCTGAGGGAGCTCAACGCCTCAGGACTGAGTTCTGCTTTGCTGACCTGGACGGGGAGGAAGCACGAGGGTCGACTGATGTAAGATTTACTTGTGTTCTCATGTCGTCTGTACATTGTGGTTTGGTAAGTGCGACTCCTCCCTCTCCTGTCCAGTGTACATTAATGACCACATGTGTGAACCCACTCGCTCACCTCGGTCACTGACATGAAGCCCGACAACTTCAGAGCTGACATCAGCTTCTCAGCAGTCCTCACATTCTGTGCGTCAGCTCCTGGAACACAGTCAGAGCAATGCCAATTTTATTTATTCTCATTAAGTTTTGAGGGGATTATATCTGTGTTAAACAGAATGTTGTGTACTTTTCCATTTTTAATGACATGATGCGAGTCCATCTTGGAAGACATGAGGTTCAGAAATCCTTCCTGTTATGACTTTTTCCAACATAAAAGGTGCATATCATTGTATTTTCCTTAATAAAAGTCATCATAAAGGAATTTAGAACAACACTTTCTCTCTCACCTGTAACTGCTTCATCCAGGACTAGCTTCCCGCCAGGTTTGAGCACTCTGGCTAACTCTGCTAGAGTCTCGGAGCTGTGGACGGAGGAGCTGTCAGCCAGAAGGCAAGAGAGCACGCAGTCAAAGGTGGATGCTGAATGGGAGGCTGAGGAGGAGAGAGGAGAGGATCACTTTACTCCTGACTTTCGATTCAATTGTCACACTCCATGCTGAACCCACTCAAGCAAGTGTTTTGGAGGTAAAATACCTCAAAATCAGGATAAGAGTCACTCACACAGCGATAATCTCTCCATGTTCTCCACTGACACTTTGCCGTCTGCACCCACAATGGCACCCAGTTCCTCTGCATACTGTTTCAGGGCTGCTGGTGCTGAAGGCTGAGTCCAAACCAACAGCACCTTGTCACCTGCTTTAACGCCAAGGTCTGCCATGACTTCCTGGAGAAAAGTACACATTTATAGAAAGAAATGAGAAAAACTGGTTGTTGGTTGCTCAAATTTTAAAAAAATGTGTACATTACAACAACAGCAACAACATATAGAATGTCTTATTAAAAAGTTGTTATAATTAAAAAAAAAGGGACTACTCTGCCTGTGGATCATCTTAAAGTGAAGACACTGGAGATGATCCAGTCAGACACACAAGTGAGCCAACTGATAACACAGTGCCGTTATACCACCACGACCACAGTATCGGTTATAACAAACAGGAATAAGCTCTGTTAACACATACATGATTAACTTATGTCGGTCCGTTTCAGCCACGACTCAAACTGTTAAGCACAGAAGTCAGTCCTATGAGTAAAATGATAGAACCTTGGGATTATAGTTGTTATAAGAGCAGCGCAGCTAGCCGTCAGTAGCTAGCCCATTGTAATAATGACTAGTGTTTTATTTTAACGAAAGGTGTTGACATGTGAAAACTGCGGACTGGTCTGGAAGCTTCTCTGGAGTCATTGAAGTCATTTCTATAACGTCAATACATGGCCAAGAAACGTGGTGATATATTTTAGCTTTAAGCCTTAAAATGTAAACGTGAGTTTACTTAACTACTAGTTAGCTTGTTTGTTGACACGGGTGCAAAGCAAAGGTTAGCATAAAGCACATAAAGCGAGCAGCGTGACGCAGAAGACGCCGGTGTTAATTCAGTTCATAAGCACGTTGTTTAGACTGACAGAGTCTGCTTCATGGCTACTAGCCAACACAAATATACTCACACTTTTGTACGACTGTTCTTAATAGCTCCGGTGGTTAAATTACTGAAATAAAAGGACAGCTCAATCGAATGTACTCACTTACTCAGCCGATATCTTGACGGAAGTTTCACTGTCAAGGTACCCAAAGTAAGAAAAGTGTTTTCCGGTTAGAAATGTCAAAATAAAATAATTGTTAGTGTGTAGTAACCTCAATGCTTACGTTTTGGCCATTAAAAGTACCATGTAGAAGTGCAGTTGGCTGTATATTTTAGGGATAAAAAAAGTCATTCTTACACAAAATGCATTTTGTGTTGTTTTTGCCAATTTCTCCAATAGAAATGAAGTGAGTGTGTTATATATTGAAAACAGCATCCTTCTTATTCTTGCTAGCCTGATGAAGCGTGTGGTTCGAGTCGCGCTGGAGTGACGCAGCTGGGTCTAAAAGCACAGGGCAGCGGAATATGGCGGCGCTGCTGAGAGGTCTGCGGGCTGGAAGGGCACTGCGGGGGCTGGGCAGCGGTAAGACAGGACTCCGGTGGTGTCGGTGTTGCAGTCTCATGTTAATAATGGACAGCCTGGGAGATGATTCCTGTAATGTCTTCCAGTTATTTGTTGCATGAAGTAGAAAGGAGCCAGTGTTGACGTTAGCTGTCCGTGCCAAAGTCACTTGTGGCAGAAGGTGATCATGGAGGACAGAATTGGACAACATTATGTTGGCTGTGGCTTTACAGAACAAATTAGGCGGATAATTGTTGGTTGACATGGTGCTACGGGTTTGTAGACCTCAGTAGTTAATGGTAAACAAGTTCCTGCACACGGGGGGCGTCGTCTCTGTGGTTATGCAAGCTGTCACAGTATGTTTCTCCTATAGTGGCTATATATAGCGTTGACTTCCATGTGTTGTTGTTGGCACTGATTTTTGTGCCTTAAAGTCTGTAACTTCAAACATCTGCATATAATTAAATGCAGGTGTGCAGAAGTTCTTTCCTGTAGAAGGTGTCTGCAATATAAAAACCATTCAACCATTTTATATAGGGAAGGGTGAATCTTTATCTGCTGTTTTATATCACTGCTGTGTACCACACTGAACACATGGAGAAGAAAGAAATTCACACAAAGCGTTGATTTTATAGGATGTAAGAAAACCTATGAAAGAGAAACAGTAGGCATATATCTCTGCATTTTGTTCATTTCTGTGAGGAAAATTTCATGAACTTATTTAAGATCTAAACTTTGAAGACCTAAACACGAGCTATATTCACAGAGCCTTCACTCTGATAAACGTTTTTGATTTTGATTTTGATATAAATGTAAGATTTCATTCCTCCCCAACCCAGTCCTTTGAATCTAACATATATATCTCCCTACAGTGGTGGCTGCACCAACAGCAACAAAGCCCCAGTGCAGCAGCCTGAGACGAGGCTTCCACCGTGCAGCGCAGAGGCTTCAGGATGAATCCAAATCTGACAAACCCCCCTCCTCCTCCTCCTCATCCTCATCCACAACCTACCATGAGCACTACCAGGCTCACTCTGCCCATCAGGACACAGCAACAGCTTCTCAGGAACACTCAGCGTCTGATCCAGCATCTGAGGAGGCTTCCGGGCCAAACACCAGGTCGGTCAATCCAAAAACACACAGAACAATGAACTGAACAATGGCTGCTGTGGGAGAAGTAACACATTTATAATTCGTCAGAGGGCTTGCTAACTGACCTCTTCTCACAAGATGAGTGTGCTTCATTTGTACTGAAACATGACTTTTTGCGTGTGTCTGTGGGAAGTTACCAGGACCAGGGAGGAGAGCAGGGCGAGGAGTACGAAACAGAGGAGCAGCTTCAAGCTCGAATCCTGACCTCTGCTCTGGAGTTCGTCCCACAGCACGGCTGGTCACTGGAAGCCATTGCGGCCGGTGCTGAGGTGAGCCGCTGTTAGAAATGAAAAGTGGAGTAGCTTTGGTGCAAACGCAGGGAATAGTCAGGACACAAAATATGGTATTATTTTATTTTATGGCGTTTATTAGCTCCATCTCACACAGAGTGACGCACATTGAACTTTGACTGTGTTACTTTTGAAAGAAGAAATAACACATTCTTCCTCTTACAGATGAAAAGTGGAATTCATAAGCAACAATAGACACCTTGCTCAATTCAACAGACTCAGGGGTTTTGCTGCTACAACCTTACTTCATCTGGTATGACCAGTAGCTTATGGTTAGCATTAGGCATGCACTGATACCACTTTTTTTTTTTTTTACACCAAATACAGTACAAGCACTTACCTTTGGGTACTTGCCAATACCGAGTACCAATATGAGTACATAGTGATACCATTACAGTTCTAACAATGACTTCAAAAACATATTTATTCAAGTTTGCCAAAACCTTAATTTTAAAACATTCCATTAGAACCCATCATGATACTGTTATAATTTACCTTTACCCAATACTCATTTTTACTTAATAGTGTTTGAACACATCAAAATGCAACCCAATGCAACTTAAGGATAACAAGAAGCCAACAGCAGCTCAGTGAGACCAGGCTCTCAGGAAATTGTGAGCCAGTTATGATCCTTGCAGCAGGTATTATTGCTGACATGCCCGCGGCTGGGGTCACTACTGCAGGAACATTTCAGAATCAGTATACTTTTCCTGGGTCTCGCTCCTCAGTGGACTGAGGGGACATCTATTGATTGCTAACAGTAACAGCAAGAGAGGAGATGATCAACTGTACTATAAATAAATGCTATGGATGTGATTTGATCAAGTTTGTCATTTTCTTAGTGACAGGCAAATATTAATAATAATAATAAAATCCCCAAATACCCCTTGTGTCCAGGAAGCACCCCTTGGGAGATGTTCGTGCATCCCAAACACATTTTCAGTGGTCTCTGGGACAAAGGGATGCTGCGAGCCTGGAGCCCGAGGTTAACGTCCCGCTGCCGTAAAAGTAGAATCGGTGTCGGTGCATCCCTAGTTAGCATGCTTTAGATACGTAATCCTGTACCAACAGATCCATATTATCACGTGTTGATGTTATTCAGCAATATTTACATAGTATGCCCTTAATGATCCTCTCCTGACTATATTAAGACATTAAGACAGTCTGCTTGGAAAAGTTAAAAGTATAATTTCCTCAAAGTAATCTCCTCCTTGTACCTCATTAAAACCTCCAGAATCTCTGAATATGCAAATGTTGTTAATTTCTAAAGTTTTGCTGCTGGACACAAAATGTCTCCTACTTCACTGTAAAGTCCATTCTCAGTGGATGTGCACTGTTGGCTTCAAGTCTTCCAACTTCATGGAACAATCTACAACTGCTACCCAAGTCAATTCTGTGGGAGCCCAAGAGGATTGACGCGTACACCCAGTTCGAGTCCTGGCGGACCTTTTGTTTAACCACCCATACTCTCAACGCCCCTCATATCTAAACTATGAGCTCTCTTATTTTTTTCCAGGCCCAAACACATAGAAATAAATGCCTCAAAAAAGTGTCTGAGACAACGTGTTTGAATTGAGTGGAGAGTGTCAGGTTCCTTTGAGTTAAATAATGCTGTTATCTACTGCTACATGCATCTTGTATTTTTGTGTAATGGTAGATTTGTGCTGTTGTTGCTAACCAGATCTATGGGCCTTCTACTGAAACATTCCACTGTATGTTACAATGGAGCCGGGAGACTGTTGTGCTACCACTCTATTCTGCCGACTGCAACTCGAGAGCCATCGAAACGGAGATCCTTCTCCGATACCACAGCGAGGGAGTCCAGCTGCGCCACGTAGGACGTATACGTGATCAACATACTATATAATATTATAGGTATCTTTTCATTAGTGTATAATCATAAATATAACACTGAATGTAGGATTTGTTTGCTTTCTGGTAACCCTTAGAACGAGCCTTTATCATCTACAGATTCTGCCAGGTCACTTCCCACGGGAGCCAGCCATGTTTTGTCAAAACATGTTTTCCACAGTAGCCCAGAACAGACAACTAAAAGGCTGTGACTAGGGGGTGTTGTATTTTTCACCACATTTCGCTGCCACTGTATGGGAATGTGTGGGAAGTGGGACCACCAACCTAAAAGCATCTGTATTCTGACACGTGGGAATGAAGACGTTTTTATCAGCTCTGATTGGTTGTTTTCGTTAGGCACCGTGGAATTCTTGCAAATACATTGGAGCACTAGGAGAGCAGACTTTATTTCCACAGATACTTGTTTCAAATGTACCTACTGCTCATGATATGTGAAAGTTTCAGAAATATGACAAATTTTTTTTTTATGACTTACTGCAAGCCTTTAGGGAAAAAGACTGGGATCAAAAAGTGAGTGAATAATGAATGATATGTGCTGGAAGTGATCGTTTTCTGGAAGCAGAGGATGCTTTGAAGCTATCCAAAACACACAAAAAGTAAGCACAAGACAGTTCAGAAAGGTTAACGTGGAAAATGAACATAAGCCATCTAGTCTGATCATTTTCTTTGACTTGTCCTGACATGCACTACATCGTGGCTCGCACTACTTCTTGCGCAACACACACTGCTCCTGTTCTTCACGGCTTGTAATGAGGCATCACACGATCTCAAGAATTCATCATGACATTATTCATCAGTCGAACTGGATTCCCTCTGGCAGCTCTATGCAGTGTGGCATCAGCCATCTTGCACGGCATTACGCACACAACCAGCCAATGGCTGTTACATCTGCGACAGGCCCCACGATACACATCAAAAATCCCACCTCACATCCGGGGCCCCACATAATATGCATGTTCAAATGGGATATTTTAATGACAACAGAAGATAAAGATGAGTTAAAGAGATCAATATTTAAAGCAGATGTGATATGTGATACAAACAAAAAAAACAAAAAATTATGTTTATGAAAGTTAAATAAATGAATAATGTGGGAATATAATAAATAAGTGAAATTAAATTAAACGGGATCAAATACTGGAGGAGTGGAACGTAAAGAGTAAAGTCAAGTGGATTATATTGATAAAAATTATGTTAACAGAAAGGGTGTAAGAGAATGGGAAGTGATGATCCATCCACATTTACAGAGCAGCTGCAGTCAATGGGCACAGGAAGATCATTTTTTCTGCAACTTTGTCACAGACCATTTCTGCTTCCATAATGGGTCATAGATTGTATGAAACCATGTGGAGTGTGAAGAAGTAACCAGGGCCAGAATCACAGTATTTTATTTTCACCAAGCAGTGAATAGACAATGTATTGGAGAGAAATGTGTCATGATTTATGACGTGAATGCAATTATTTTAATGTGGCGCTTTGCTTTGTTGCTCTTCCTACAATTTTTTTTCCAAGTTAAACGGGTTATTGCATATCTGAATTGAGGGTCTAAGATATGCTTGTACAGATTGTGTCGGCCCTCTGTATTGTATAGTGGGCTATGTGCATAAAATTGACGTGATTCTGAATACAATTTTTCTTTACACTAAAAATGCTTGTCTACATTAGCGATTTCTCTGTTCACTTGATTGATTTTTCTAAAGTGTTGCACCATGTGTGTCCAGCATACTTACAAAACATGAGATTGACAGCAGGAGGACTTGAATGTGTCGTACAGTCCAACAAAATTCAAAGAGAAAATGTTTCCGAGGGTGAGCACCGGACTAGCCGCAGGCCAATATGATCCTTTGATTATCTGACCTGTGATTCTGCTGGTTGCCCAATTTGTAAGTGGTTGATTGCAACAAAATGATGTGTCTCAAAAAATGCATTGATGTCAGACGTAAACCAAAATCTTGAGCGAAGAACATAGTAATGCTATGAATTGAATATTGATTTATTAGTGCAGCTTTAGTAATTTTGTTCTTTTATAGGGGAATTTTTAATAAGTTACTTCATGTTTTTTTCATCAAACTTACTCATCATTTAAGGCG